CTTCTATGGATCTACTAGATATTGAATAATAAAGTGTAATCGATACTAAAATTATAGTAGTGAATTCCAAGTAGTTCATAGATAAAATAGTAGTTTCAATTCCGCAATGTAAGAGTAAATTTTTGCCTATTCTCCCTTTTAATTTCTAGCACAATTATTTATACCAATCATTTTTTATATTTTATTGATTTTCTAGTTATCGACCATCAACAATTTAATATTAGGACTATTACCTAATGACCATCAACAATCTAATACTCGAACTAGTTTGGCACATATATATGAATATATATTTGTTTTTTAAACCATTTTTCCAATTCATTATTTTAATTTTTGAGCAAACCTAATATATAATTCCAATGGCATTTCACTAATCTCCATAACTTGAAATGCCCAAGACCACTTTTCTACTTAATCCCATCTTTAAACCCCACATCCTAGGTTAATTTTAAAAACTATTAAATTAAAAACCATTTCTTTTTTCAATTTTATTTGTCCCCTAAGTCTATCACACAATCTGCACGTGACTCCGTAACACCCAACACTAATCACAGATTAAAAACAGATTATCCCCTTAATCCCAAAAATTACCGACGACAGATGCCCGTTGCCTGCCGCGTGGTACGTTGCTCGAGGCACTTACTTTTGATGCGAAACATAATTAAAAATATTATCTCGTTGAGCTTGCTTTTCGTGAGATTTAAAAAAAAAAATCTTAAAATCGAACGAATTCTTTTATTTATGTACTAAACTTCAATTAAGCACCTACTTAGATGTACTAAAACTGATTAAGTTATTAATTTCGTATTCGTTCTCATTTGTTGACCACCACTTAGAAAAGCACACCCACTAAATATAATTTATTTTTTAAGTTAATTCTTTAAATTTTTAATAGATGGTACTAATCCAAAACTTATAATACTGAGTTAATACAGGTTTTGCTTTCATGAAGATAAGTTAATGTAAGGCAAAATACTTAATTTATTTTATTAAATAATAATTAGGTATACATTCTTCCATCAAGTTATGGTAGTGCTTGCTTTTTTATATTCACATGCTTTTGCTTTTATTATCATACTTTAGGTTAATGAACTATTAACATGTGGCCATGTTTTAAAAAATAAAATACTTTAGGGGCCTATCTCTAATAAAGATTGTGGAATATCACGGTCTAGCCAGTTTTCGGAGTAGTAATTAAAAAATAGTCAGCATTTGCAAGATCATTGAAAAATAGCCATTATTTTGCTGCAACACACAAAGTTCCAGCATAATATACTGGAGATTGGTGCACTTGTGTATGAACTTCCAGCATATTATGCTGGAACTCCAGCACACAGAAAGTTCCAGCATAATATACTGGAGATTGGAGATCCTGTTTATGAATTTCCAGCATATTATGTTGAACCAGTATATTATGCTGGAGCTCCAGTATATTACCCTGGAGGTTCACATGTAAAAAATTTGAACTCCAGTATACTATGTTGTAATATTTTTCAGATTTTGAACAGTGTTTTCATTCATATTTATCTTTACGTGAAAAGTGGCTAAATTTCGATGTTCTTTTTAAATTGTGCTATTTTTCAATCATTACTTGTAAATCTGGCTATTTTTAAATTTCACCTGTATAGATTCGAGCCTGAGTATCGAATCGTCTTTGCTATGGATGCTTTATTCTTTAATATCGAATTTCTCGGCATAAATTCAAATTTAATCGAACCCCAATACAAATATCTAATACCAAATAAGAAATTAAAAGGTAAATACTTCACAAGGGAAGAACTCAGATGGATTCCAAAAGAGGTATTAGATTCTCCAGTTTGCTGGGGTGGGTGGGGGTGCTAATTTACTTTTTTGTGTTATCAACTTCTATTTCGAACCAAACAACGTTTTATAATATATTGTATTGTATTGTATTGTATTGTATTGTATTGTATTGTTTGATGAATATAATGTTCAGATAAATTATATCGTTTGTCGTCATTTTACGATATCACACACCAACAATATGAAGAATAAACTTGCAATATTCTAAGAAAAAATATGATTCGGAGTAGAATTATTATTTAAAAAAGTAGGGTAAAGAATAAAATATAATTATTTAATAATAAGAAAGGGCAAGATGAGAGAAAAAATGGTAACGATGCCACTACACCAAATCTGTCGTTCCATAAAGTGGCACTTTTCATCGTTACGTAACAATGACTTTAACAATACAATACAATAAAATTTAAGTAACAATCAAAACAATCATTATATTTGAAGTGACACGATACAATACAATAAGTAACAACTATCCAAACAAGCCGATTAATAATAATTATATTAAAATATTTATTGTTAAGGGTCCTTTCTATATTGGGAAATTTACGCTTAGTCCCTCAAGTTTTGACGAATTTATACTTTGATCCTTGTGACATGTGGCTAATTAAGCACATTTGGCAGAAGCTTTTTAGTTTGGTCAAATATTTGTATGTTGGTAAAGGAATAAAATTAGATTTAAAAAATATCTAGTCTAGAAAATTCTTATTTAATTTGCCTTAGAGAATCAAATATTAAGTATTAAAGTGAAATAGCGTCAAATAAGGCGCAGCAAATATAGAGGATTATTCATATCCTATAAAATTTCAAATAACAAAAATGAATTAATTATTTTCCTATAATCTCACGTAAATGTAAGATTTACCTGCATTTATAGTTTTATTTATCAACTTGTCCATTTTGTATCTAATAAATAACAATCTTAAAATGCTGAATGTTTTATTAGTATATAAATCACAATTATCTAGTCAAAAAAGTAAGGAAATTATTTTTTTTTTCCTTTTGTAAAAATTGTAAAAATAAATTGAATTTAAAGAATGTGAAAATATCGGATTTTGTTGTAACTGTCCTCAGATTTAGCTGCAAAAATCATATCTTCTTGAATGTTCCTTTTATCTCTTTTTATTAATTTAACCTTTTGAGATTTTTATTTTTGACTAAACTCAGAAAGACACTGAAAAATTAAAAGATTGTGTAAATGGATTTATTCTTTCAACCAACAAAAGGAAGGCCATTTTCAATTGAAGTTGGCTACTTTGATTCAATCTTAGAGATCAAAGAAAAAATCCAAAAATATCAAGGCATTCCTGTTCCAAAACAAACCTTAATTTTCAAAGGTAACGTTTTAGACGATCATATAAACGTTCATTATTCCGATATCCTCAATAATTCTCATATTCAACTCGTCGTAGAATCCGAATTCAAATCCGAATCGGACAAGAACATTAATATCATCAAGGCAGAACAGTCGTCTCCGACTCCAACGAAGAAAATCCAACTCCTCGTCAAGATGCCAACGTCGCCAAAACTAGGGATTGCCCTAGAAATGAACGTTACGGATAGCGTTAGAAGGGTAAAAGAGAGAATTCACGATATGGAAGGTGTACATGTGAGTAAATTAGTAATGTATGCTAATGGAATTGAATTGATTGATCATCAAAGTCTACTAGATTATGGACTTTCTGATAATTCAGAAATTGATGTTAGTATAATCAGACCTAATTATATCGCGGCGTCTACGACAACAACTTCTTCAGGATCATCATCAGGAAATAATATAAACGGATCGAAGAAAATAAGAATTATGGTTTTATCCAAATGTGGTACGAAGAAATTTCCTATGGAAATTAATCCGTCAGACAATGTGGGACACTTGAGAAAAGAGCTACAAATATTGAACCAAAAATTGGAATTAGATCTTCCAAAAGAAGGGTATTTTTTTATTTATAAGCAAAATGTAATGGATGATGATCGTTCATTTAGATGGCATAATGTTTCTCAAGGTGACACTATTGAGATCTTTAATGGTAGTATCACTGGTGGAGCTTAAAATTTTTTTGAGTTGGTTTCTCGTTCGGTGTCAGGTATTTACGTTGGAGTCCGATTATAAGCGGTTTCACGCTCTCTACAAAGAATTTTTCCATACCCAAAGCTCGAACTCGAGACCGCTGCACCACATCGTTAGGTGGTTTTGTTTTTTAAAGTTTCTTGTACTCTTTCTCTTAATTGAAAATTCTTAGATTAGTTAGTATTTAATGAGTTAATATTTGAGAGGAGGAGATTTGTCATCTTTAGAACAATATAAATATTTGTTTAATGTAGCTCTACTACATGACTTAGTGTTCTTTTGTGTAGTTTTGTATTTTTGTTTCGGCTTTCTGATTATAGTATGTACTGTTAGTATTGTATTTTCGCTTTAGTTTTCTGATTGGTGTGTTTGTTGTTGCCCTTCCTTTTTTTTTTTCACTGAGCCAAGGATCAACCGAAAACAGCCTCTTTGTGCCTTCTTGAATGAAGGTATAAGGTCTGTGTAAACTCGAGTACATCCCAATATCCCAAGCCTCTTCTCCGTTATTAAAATATATATCTCATGTATACTAATAATAAATATAGCTGATAAATATATTTTATAGTATAAACTTATATGAAAATGTATATAAGTATACAATACAACATACCTTCATTGTACAATATCACTTTAGTTCATCTTATTCATACATTTAGCAAAAAAATCTGATATTTATTACTAGGCCTGTGCATTTGGATCGGATATCCGAAATCCGATCCGATCCACTCTATTTCGAATTTTTGGATTTCGAATTTCAAAATGGATGCGGATTATATTTTAAAAATTTTCGGATTTTCGGATTGATATAGTTTTAATCCGATCCGAAATCCGAAATTATAGGGCCTATATAAATACTACACTAAAATTTTAGGGTTAAAGCATAGTCATTTTTTAGACAACCCGTCCCCTAAGTTATATCGATGTTCTATCTCCACTTCTCCTTCTCCGCCTCTCTGAGTCTCTTCAGTTCAAAACTTTGAACTCCAAATGTCCTTCTCCTTCTCCAAAGAAGGAGACTTTCTTTTTTGTTAAAAATTGGTAAAATATACAGTGAGTATATAGTATAGGATAAAATCCAGCATAGGATAATTAAGTGACAATCCAATCCGACAATCCGAAAAAATATCCGATCCAAAGTTTAAAATCCCATCCGATCCAATGTTAATTCGGATCGGATTCGGATTGCCCTTTTCAGAATCCGAAATCCGAATCCGAAATATGCTAAATCTGATTCAATCTGATCCATGCACAACCCTATTTACTACTAATAAATATCTTATACAATATATGATATAATATAAACTTATATGACATTGGTATAAGTATACAATACATTATATAATATAAACTTATATGACACTTGGTATATATAATATACAATACATCATATCTAGGTTATATAATTGCACGTTAGTTCACATTGAATTATTTTAGTATTAAAGTTTACATGCTATATATTGACTATGATGTATTTTATTCCCTTTTTTTGATAATTTTTATTTAAAGATTATTTCTCCTACGACTAGAGAAGGAAAATTTGATAAAAAAATGTATTGTTTGTTGAGAATATGGTGGAGAAGGAGAATACAAATAAAAAGGCAATGGATAATTTTTCCTATTTAGTTTCCTTATTTATAGGGATTGCGATGGAGTATTTTTAGGGAACAATTGATTCTATTAAATATGCTACCGTATTTAAGTTGTACAATATATTAATTACTTAATAGTTATAGATTATGAAATATTTTATGATTCTACATGTATTCTAACCAAACGACCCCTAAAGGGTTGTTTGGTACGCGGACTAAATTATCCTGGGATTATAATATTACAAGACTAATTTATATCACATGAGAGATTGGGATAAAATAATCTCACATTTGATAAGATAAGGTGGAATAACACGGGATATCCTGAATTAAATCTGGGATTAAATTTATACCTTGTTTGGTGAAAGGTATAAATTTATTTACTTAATCCTACATCTTGTCCCACCTTATACCGCATACCAAACGACCTAAGTCTTTAGTACAGGCACAAAGTTTAATCACATAAAGTAATCTTTTATCAATCAAAAAAGCTACAACACTCTTTGGTACTCAGTCTAGGGTAAATACACCCCACCCTACCCCACCCTACCCCACCCCCAACCCAAATCGAATAGAGATGAATATTTAATTTGGGGAGTTAATTCAAATTGAGCCGTTAACTAGCAGAGACAACTTTATCGTTAATCCAAGGTTTCCCTTCTAGTGGTGTTTTATTATTGAGCAAGTTCTCTGGTTTTTTTGTTGCCTATAACCTATTTGATAATGCAACCATTTAGAACTGTTTTCACGGCTCGAACCTGTTAACTAGCTCATACGAGACAACTTTACCGTTAATCCAAGGTTTCTCTTCTAGTAAAAAACTACTAGAAGAGTTAAAAGCTAGTCTACAATAGCAGTGTAACAGACCCATATTTTATATATATCAAAAAGGTTAAAACTAGGAAAATTAAGCTGAGCTAACTAATAGACTCATTGTTACAAATAGAGTTCCTAAAAACAATTAAAACCACTGTTCAACATAAAGCTGCCACCTGAAAACTGATTTGAGCATCCTCTTTAACATATCTTCTGCTTTGTTTTGCTCCACACCAATTCTAAATGGACCTAACACTTTGTATATCTGGGAATGTGCTGCATTTCTCCAAGCATGTTGACCATTTTTACACCAAAAACACAAGCTCCTGCTCCATGTACATTCGTAGTATAGCCAATTAAAAATATATGTAATCTATAGTCGACAAGTTATATTGCTCGGATTCTCCAAAAGTATATCGCTGCACCCCTATCAGATCCTACTTGGATGCCCCGGTAAGGAGGTGCGAGTGGTTGGTGTTGGTGGGTACGAGGAGAGGTAGAGAGCGGCCTAAAAAGTATTGGGGAGAGGTAACCAGGCGGGATATGGCGAGACTTCAGTTCTCCGAGGACATGACACTCGATAGGAAGCTGTGGAGGTAGAGCATTAAGGTTGTGAGTTAGGAGGTAGTTGAGCATATGTCTACCAGTATGAGGCTAGGCTGATAGGATTTAGTCTTAGACGGCTAGTGGTCAGTATTGTGTTTACACTACTCTTCCGTTTTCATAGTGTCGGGCCTTATTTACTGGTCATTATTTCTGTCTTTCATCTATTCACTGTTTCTTGTGTTGTTATTATTTGCACGATGGTTTTGATATATCGTCTCTTTTTGTCTTTTCGTCTCCTTGAGCCGAGGGTCTATCGGAAACAACATTTCTACCCCATCGGGTAGAGGTAAGGTCTGCGTACACACTACGCTCTCCAGACTCCACTTGTGTGACTATACTGGGTCGCTATTATTGTTGTACCCCTATCAGATCCTACAAGGAATGCACTATTTTTGAAGGATCGGACACTGGTGCGCTGATATTTTTGCAGGATCTGAGCAACACAGGTCTACTGGCTTCCTCCTAATAAAGAAAGTCAAAAGTAATAAAATGAAAATCTTACCAGTTGAACCAAGACAATGTGGAACTGCATCTTACTCGCACTTGATTGAACGGTATATATGGCGGACGAAAAACAAAGCTGCTCGGAAACCAACAGTTCCGAGCATGAGAAAGAAGGCGTAGCATATGCAAGCCATGTAACCAAAGAAGAATGAGGTTTGCATGAAGCCTGACATGTCTGATCGGGCATAATAGTAATACAGGCAGTATCCATAGATGAACAGACCAGTTGATCCACCACAAAGGAAAGACCTACAAGATCAATATATAAGTGAGAGCCCCGACAAAGCACACGTATTTCCAAAAAAAATTGTGTCTAAATGTATACGTTAAAAATAAAGAATAAGATGATAAAATTGAAAATTGAAATTTCAAGTACCCCCAACTAATATAAGAGATCTAAATCAGCACTCACCAAAGAATCAAATAGAGACAAAGGCCGAACCAAATAGGGAAAAATCAAGCCGGCTTCCCAATCCCCCAAAATAAAAGGACAAAGAAGGAGATGGATGAAGTTACAATGATGCTAACCTATTTAAATACTCACTAATAAATACTTGGAATGATCATGCAGCATATTATTAATGTCGTATTAACATGACATGCACAGGGAACATTTCGGAGTTCCATGACATGATGCATTCACCAAAGGAAGTACAGAAATGGCTAGTAATCATTCATTTTTGCATCCTTCAACTGTTTGAAAAGGATTTGGTCAATTAAGTACTATTAACATAACTTACCTCCACCACCATTCATGGTCTTCTGCAGCAAGTTGGAAGTACGTCAAAGCCACCGTAATAAATGCAGTGACAATGATCAGAATGATGAAAACTATGAATAAGATACTGTAAATGGTGTAAATCCTATGACCCCACACGCTGGCAAATATGTAGTAGAGCTCAATGTAGATGGCGCTGAAAGGCAAGAACCCAGCCATTGCCATCTGAGGAAGAGCTCCACGATACCAGGGTAATTGCGGTATCTCTCTTGGATATTTCGTTGTTCGGCATGGAGCTTGAAATTCTGCCTTGCTATTCTTTCCTGCGATTCCTCCCAAGACAAGCAGTGGTGATGTCACAAGGGCCCATATGAGGAAAATGACAACGATGGTACCGAATGGAAGTGCTGCAGTTGCATGATAAGCAATTGCAACAGTATTAAGGAAGCAGAACGTGAGAAACAGTGGTCCACAGAAGAGACCCCCTGTCAACAACAAATTCCTTACCTGTAAAAAGGAAATTGAATTTGAGATCAGTACATAGTTTCCTACTTTCTGCACGAAACAAACCGAACAATCTCCAGTAATTTTTAACTCTGTGAAATCGGCGACCACTACATTAATTCTTGGAAACCACTGTATTTGGTTTCAAGGATAATAAGTTGTAAACAACAAATAGGAAAGAAGAGAAACTAAAGATAGAGAGAGAGAGAGGAACGGCAAGGAAAAGCCAGTAAAATGGACTGAGG